GTTGCTGCTGTTGCTGCTGCTGCTGTTGCTGCTGCAGGTTTTTGAATCGTTGCAGCTCAGTGCTGAATGTATCTTGGGGGTTTGAGGGTTTGCTGCAGTCTCTTGCTGCTGTGTCTCCCCCTGCTGATGTTCTTCTTTGTGGGTATTTGTTGTCTTTGTCTTCGTTTTCATTTGACTTTCTCCCGGTGCTGCAGCAGATAGATGCTGCTCTTGCTGCTGATGAGCAGCAGCAGCAGCAGCTACTCGCTGATGCTGCTGCTGCTGCTGCACAAGCTTTCGTTGCACCACCAGAACCACAACCACCACCAACAGCAAGAAGATTATATGAACAGCAGCTGCAGCAGCAGCAGCAGCGTGCTGCTTCGGGGCAGCAGGGGGGGAGACGCCCAAAGAAGAAGGCTCAGCAGCAGCGCCAGCAGCAGCAGCAGCAGCAGCAGCAGCAGCAGCAGCAAGATGCAGCAAACGAACCCCCAGGAACACCAGAAGAAAGCAACCCACAAACCCCAACAGCAACTCTCGACTCGCAGCAGCAGCAGCAAGAAGACGAAACCCAAACGCAGCCTGACTCACAGCAGCAGCAGCAACAGCAGCAGCAGCAGCAGCAGCAGCAAGGTGCTGCTGCTGCTTCGGGTATGATTCGTCGTAGCCAGGGCTTCCTTCAGTTTTGTGCAGACCTGTCGCACACTGCAGCAGCAGCAGCAGCTGCTGCTGCATGCGGTTTACCTGCGAATGGCAGCAGCAGCAGCAGCAGCAACAGCAGCAGCAGCAGCAGCAACGGCCCTACTACTACAACTGCAGCAGCAACTGCAGCAGCAGCAGCAGCAGCAGCAGCAGCAGCAGCAGAAGCATGCGGAACTGCTGATTTCTGGGAATGGGAGGATATAGGGGGGGAGGACGAAATGTATGCAGCAGCAGCAGCAGCAGCAGCAGCAACAGCAGCAGGAACTCCCTCCCTATCATCCTCATCCCCAGCAGCAGCAGCAGCAGCAGCAGGAGCAGCAGGAGCAGCAGCAGGAATAGACCCAATGCAGCGGCTGCTGCAGCGGCTGCTGGTGCTGCTGGGGAGAAAGGCGGGGCCCCCGTTCAGAGCAGCAAGAGCGCTGCGGCGGCTGCTGCAGGAAAGGGGAGAAGCAGATTTGCTGCTGCCGCTTAAACCCTTCGCCTTTGTATCAGATGGACCCACTGACTGGGCACACCTTAAACCCCTGCAGGTGCTGCTGCTGCTGCTGCTGCTGCTGCTGCTGCTGCTGGTTGTGGTGGTGCTGCTGGTGCTGCTGCTGCTGGTGCTGGTGCTGGTGTTCGTGCTGCTGCTGGTGATGCTGGTGCTGCTGCTGCTGGTGATGCTGGTGCTGCTGCTGTTGGTGGTGCTGCTGCTGTTGGTGTTGCTGTTTTTGGTGCTGCTGCTGTTGGTTGGTGCTGCTGCTGTCGGTGGTGCTGCTGCTGTTGGTGGTGCTGCTGCTGTTGGTGCTAGTGCTGGTGCTGCTGCGTTCGTCGCTGCTGCTGTTGCTTCTGCTTCTGCTTTTGTTGCTGCTGCTGCTGCTAGCGCTTTTGCTGCTGCTGCTGCTGCTGCTGCTTTCTGTTGGGCGTGACACCGCTGGGGCTGCAGCAAATGATGCCTTTGCCTGTTTCTGGGTATAATGGAACTCTCAACTGCTGCTGTTGCTGCTGCTGCTGCTGCTGTTGCTGTTGCTGCTGCTGCTGCTGTTGCTGTTGCTGCTGTTGCTGCTGTTGTTGCTTCAGCGTCTTCGTTTGCTGCGCGCGGCGATTTCGCTCGTTTTGTCTGAGAGTCCGCAAATAGCGCGAGTAAGGGGCCTTACCAGCTAGCTAGCTAGCTAGCTAGCTAGCTAGCTAGCCAGTCACCTAGTTAGCTAGCTATCCAGCTAGCTAGCCAGCTGGACAGCTAGCTATCCACCAGCTCCCATCTAGCTAGCTAGCGAGCTAGCTTGTAGTTCTAGCTAGCTGCGAGGTTGGCTAGCCAGCTAGCTAGCCAGCTAGCTAGCTAGCCAGCTAGCTAGCACGTGCAGTGTTTTCCGGCGTGCGTTTGTTTAAAACCATGTATCTGCTGTTTCTGCTGCTGCTGCTGTTGCTGTGCTGTTGGCATTCTGCTGCTGCTGTTTTGCTTCTGCTGCTGTTGCTGCTGCTGCTGCTGCTGCTGCTGCAGCACCTAGGTGACGCAGCAGCAGAAGCTGCATGCGCTGGCGAGCAGCTAGTAGGCGAAGACCCCGCAGGCCATCTCTATTGGCTGCTTACACAGCATGGAGACCCCACAACATTCAAGCTATACAGGGTAATGCTGCTGCTGCTGCTGCTGCTGCTGCTGCTGTTGCTGCTGCGGCTGTTGCTGCTGCTGCGGTTGTTGTTGCTGCTGCTGCGCTTGTTGCTTCTGCTGCTGCTGTTTCTGCTGCTGTGGCTGTTGGCCGGTGTTGCTGAAAGCAGCATATCGTGGCTGCTGTATGTGCCTTTGCAGCCAGCTAGCTAGCTAGCCATATAGCTAGCTAGC